CCCCCCCCCCCCCCCCCCAGCCATGTGCTTCTCTGATTTATGACTGTTAACCAGCCATCAACATAAGGAGGCCCAGCAGATAAGCTTCATGTTGTTATTTCAAAGTGACGTTCCCATTATGTTCATCAGTTGGCATTTTATGTTCCATTGGGACAATATGAGCATCTAAAGAAACTTTACTGTAATCTGCTGAGGTGAAGAACCTATCTGGAATGGGTTAGCTGAATGTTTCTGAACCTTGTGCGATAGCTATGTGTCTCTTCCAGAATTCATCCTTAAGCCTGTTTCTTTCTATTTTGTAGAAACAAGAGATAATTGATTCCATTATGTGCGCGTCAGCCAAATATAACACCCGGGGTCCAGCCCTCATCCCAAGAATGAAAACCAAGCATCGCATCTACTACATCACTCTCTTCTCCGTAGTTCTTCTTGGCCTAATTGCTACAGGAATGTTCCAGTTCTGGCCTCACTCCATTGAGTCATCCACTGACTGGACTGTTGAAAAACGCAGCGTGCATGATGTGCCTGTGGTCAAGCTTCCTGCTGATAGCCCCATTCCTGAGCGGGGAGACCTCAGCTGCAGGATGCACACCTGCTTTGACGTCTATCGATGTGGATTCAATCCCAAAAACAAAATTAAGGTATACATCTACTCACTGAAGAAGTACGTGGATGAATATGGGACGTCAGTCAGCAATACCATTTCCAGGGAATACAATGAGCTACTAACTGCCATCTCTGACAGTGAATTCTACACTGATGATGTCAACCGGGCCTGCCTTTTTGTGCCATCCATAGATGTTCTCAATCAGAACACACTCCGCATCAAGGAGACAGCTCAGGCTTTGGCACAGTTATCCAGGTACTTAGCCATGTCAGTATGTGAATTTGAAGGACTCAAGTAAAAAAGTTAAGATCATACTCTCCTCCAGCATTTCAGTGAGTCAGTGCCAGAGTTAGACTTTGAGAGAGTTTGCTCTCTATATGGATGATATACCTTTCTAATTGTCCTTTGTTCCTTCTTTTCCCTTAGGTGGGATCGAGGCACAAATCACTTGCTCTTCAATATGCTGCCTGGGGGGCCACCAGATTATAACACTGCACTGGATGTTCCTAGAGATAGGTATGCGTTTTGCTGTGTTTAATGGCATTTAAACCCAGACCTATTGCATTTAAAGAAGCAGTAAGCTCAGAAGTGTAGCTGATAGCAAAGGCTGCACTCCTTAACCTTTACAAAACTGGAAAGGCCACAAAGATGATTAAGGGGCTAGAGCATCTCTCGTAAGAGCAGAGGCCGAGAGAGCTGGGACTGTTTAGCCTCAAGAAGAGAAGGCTCGAGGGGATCTTATCAGTGTGTATAAATAGCTGATGGGAGGCTGTCAAGAAAATGGGGCTAGAGTCTTCTCAGTGGTGCCCAGTGACATGGAGAGGCAGTGGGCACAAACTGAAAAACAGGAAATTCCACTTGAGCGCAAGAAAACTTTTCTTTATTGTGAGGGTGGTTGAACACTGGAACGGATTACACAGAGAGGTTATGGAGTCTCCATCTTTGGAGATATTCAAAACCCGACTGGACGTGGTCCTGGGCAACCTGGTCTGGCTGACCCTGCTTGAGCAGGGGGATTGGACCAGAGGATCTCTAGAGATCCCTTCCAATGCCAACTATTCTGTGATTCTGTGAATGTGACTTTGTCTCTTCCAAAAAAAAAAAAAAAAAGGAATTAGTAAGTACCTCTTTCCTTCAGGACAGTTGTTTATTCCTGGAATCCGACAGTTTGGCCTCATCCTTAATTTTGGAAGAGGTATGATCTGCTGTTAGGCTTGCCATAAGGGTGGAGAATTTCATGTTTAGACCTGCCTCTTGTTTTACCAAATCTCAAGGCTTTACGGAATGTCCCATTTAATACAAGTTAGAAGTCCAAAGATGAATCCTAGCTGTAATTTTCTGATATAAGCTTGAAGAACGCTTCAAGGTCATTTAAAGGCAGTTGTCACTCTGGTGAGTTAATGTTATCTTAAGAATTACACTGTACTAGTAATCTGACAGTTGTTCTTAATTGTCTTAATTGTTCTTAATTCTCTGGCAAGTGTGTTTTGAAAATATTTTCCAGGAACATAAAAGGTGGTCTGAATCCTGAGCTTAATTTTCACTTGCAGAGTAGTTTACTTTTGGAAGAGAAAAGTAGGTTATAGCAAAGAAAGCTGGAACAAGAATAAGATAAACTTAGTTTAGAAACTGTTACTAAATACATTTCTAGCGGATTAGCAGATATACGCTTACTTCTGCTGAGTTAGGTCCTATGTAACCAGTCCCTCTTTTGAATATCAAGGTTAACTTTCTTCTGCCAAATGTTTCGTTAACAAAATCTTGACTAAAACATGAGATCTTTGCTAAGATGATTGTATGTGGAGTATACCTTAATTTCTTTTCACCATAGATGGTGTAAAACATTGTCCTTCAGCGCTAAAACAGAACTCATTTTTTTTCTGCATGTGTTCAAAGAGTAGGTTTACTTTTTATAATTACATCACTGGCTGTCAAGTACTGCTTTAGGTTTTGACTCTACTGTATCACATGTATATAACATACTTTATACAGGTTAGCCTGAAGAGGGCAGTCAAGCATCATTCTTATGTAACCAAACCTATTTATCTGTTAGTACATACCTGTATTTACCTTAAGTTTTATATTTCTTAAGATGACTTTTCACTAGATAGGATGCACTGTTCTGGGTTTGTGTGTTTGTGCATGCACACGCATACATGTGTCCATGGAAGAAGTTGATTTGTTAATTGAATGCAGTAGATTTCTTGTACTGTACAACTTTTTTTTGGTTACATGTCCATTGGTATTTGACCCTTATGTATCTTGGTTTACTGTGCAGGAAATATATTATTTCAGTAGGTGTTTGTTCTAAGAGCTTGTCATTCTACTGGGCAAAGTTGAGTAATTCAAATCAGAAATCAAATCTTTTTTTGGAAAAAGCTGTTGTCAAAGCACCTAACAGCTAGCTTAAAGGTGCTTTGTTGGCACTACTGTATTTCTGTTATTGGAGAAGTTCCACTAGTGTGAAAGTACTTTTACTGGTAATACTGTGCTTTCTATCTGGACAATAAAACCACCCCTTCAGCCAAGTGAGGTGTACTAGTACAAGTTCAGTTTTGCTGGTATAACTCTCTATGCTGGAGTCATCATCTAATTCAGCTATTTGAGGTTACAGTTTCATATTACACTAGTGTAGATATAAAAACAGCAGGCTGGTGGTGAAAAGAATAGTTCTGCTTTACCTTTGGCCACGTGTTCTTTTTTCCTTCCTTATTTGGGGTCTACAGACTGTGTAGTCCCATGTAAAGTCAGATTAGGTCGCCAATCCAATTAAAAACTAATTATTTTGGAGATTAGAGGTGTGAGATTTCGGTGAAATCCACTTGCTGGTCTGACTTGCCCTTCAGCTGCACGTAAGGGAGCATGTAGCGCTGATGCAGGGGAGGCAACAGCAATGTATGGAGCTGAGAAAGGGTGGAAGCTCCTTTTCATAGGCAGCAGACAGTTAGACTGGTTTATGTGTCGTATAAAACCTGGTCAGAGGTGCGAAGAGAAATGATCTGTGAAGACGTCTGTGACATGGACCTGGTCCTGGAAGGACTTGAGTGGTGCGGTATGTGGTTACAGTATGCTTCTGGAGACCTCGGGAGGTCTTAGTTCATATCTAATAGAACAAGTGAACCAACTATGTTGTCTTAATTTGAGAATGTGCACACGTGTTACAGAGTGGGTAGTCAGCTAAGCGTGAAGGATAGCTGCTTGTAGCACAACAGAGTGAGAGGCTGCGGGCCAAAGTAAAGGTACACTGGCAGAGCTTGATGGATTTTGAAGGATAGGACTGAATTGTACAAGTACAGCTCCAGAAGGGCTGGATTTGTGGGATTTTGCGGATCAGTGGTGAAATACACAGGTGATATTTAGGAAGTTTACTCAAGGAGTGCAGCCTACCTTCTTTATTCAGCACATATGAGATACTGTACATAGTTGAATAGTAGTGTGCTATAACGTCATGGGATATAATGGAATCATGTTATATTGATTTACTGCAGAATATTAATCCAGATGAAGTAAGACCTTATGCGCAAAGGGAAATTCACTTGTGTAGTAATTTGGCGTCTGGAAAAGTCTTTAACTAGGTTACCTCACTAAGTGGTGTTTGTTTATTAAATCTTTAAAACCAGTTTCCAGAAGACAGTGTAAAAGCACCTTGTTCCATGATTTTTAAGACAGAAGTCTGCCTTGCTGGCATGAAGGCTACGTTGCTGGTACTAGCCGCCATAACACGTGTAACTCCTGTCAAAAAACTTTGAAAATAAACTCGTTAATATTTGTTAATAGATGCTATTCTATATAGTTCGATACTAAGGATGAAAGAATTTATTTGGCTAATCTACTCTGTAGCCATAGAATTGAACGTTTGGTCCAAGATTTGTCTTCCTACTTCTGCTTTTCTAGTTGATGAATTGAGTTCCACTGACTTGTGAGATTTTTGAAACTGGTGATGATGGCAGCTAGGCAGGAACGTTTAGAGAGCAGACCAGCTGGGGGTCTTTCTGGAGAGAAAGAAGGGTCAATATCTGGGAAGTGGTGAAAAGGTGGGAACAGGCTCCCTCCTCTGTGATCAGAGTAATTTAAAGATAACTTGTCCTGAGTACTTTGGGAGTTAATACCTCTATTCCCTCACTACACCATGCAATGAAAATCTAAGTGGAGTTATTTAACTGGTGTTGGTTCCCTGTGGGTTTATTTAGGTAAAAGTCTGTATGACACACACCTGCTTTCTCAAGGCTGATGAGGTGCTGTCATGTTTTCACTGGATTCAGTTAAAACAATCTGGTTGTAGTTCCCAAATTAGGGGTTAAAAAAAGAAAAGAGGGAGTTGTAAAGTGCAAGAACAGTAACACCCAAGCCAATTTGTTCTCCTTGCTTGTAACTGAGTTTATGTGAATGAGACATGGAGCTTGGAGGGCAAGATGTGGTCGTAGCACCATTGTTCACCTAACACACACGCGTCACCGAAGGGGAGGCGCTTGCAAGGAATCCAAACCAGTCACTTGCTTTGGAAGATAAATTCTCACTCAGCACTTACTTGATTTATTATCATCCTGTTCTCAAGTCACTTCTGCTCCTTCAAATGGTTTGTGTTGTGAGTGAAGTGTAGTAAAGCCAGGCAAATTGGTCTGATTTTGTAATTTTCGTCAAACCAAAATACACCTCTAATCCTGACCCTAGGCTTTTCAAAGAGCTTCTTAAATGACATTTAGTACTGCTTGCTTGACCAGTTGAGTGTAGTCACGTACATGACAAAGCGTGATCGTGATGTCGGGATACTAAACAGCTCTGTGCTACGGTTTAGAGCAGGAAATGAAGTATCTTGTGGAACCTCTGAAGGGAATTAGAACAGGCAGGACATACTGGTTTTCAACCAGGATGTCTTGTCCTGAGGGGGAAAAAAGAATGGGTGGGGTCTTGGATGATAATATAGGTAACTGATTGTGTAACAGTTGTGGAAAAACTGCTTCTCCAAACACTACACTAAGGATGTAATTCAGGATAACTGAAAATGAGAATATCACCTAATGGATCATCAGTGCCTCTTTCAGTCTCACCTTGACTTTCTTTTTGTATCTGTTACAATTGCTGATGAGACAAGTGCCTGCTCAGCTGTGAACTGAAACTGTGCAAGCTTGGGGAAATAAGACTTCTGGCTGTAATCATAGCTGCTGCAATGAGTACAGCTCCTCAGGATCCTTTCTGTAGTGCCTGGTGCAGTGGTATGTTTGTGTTCTGCCTCTTTCCC